TTTTCTTCCCTTTCTTTGCCTTCCTTGTCACTGCCCAACATCCTGTCCTCAAAGTTACAGTCTCCTGTTGGAGGGAGAGGGGGGGAATGCCCTGATCCAGGCACTTTGAACATTGTTTTGCTTCTGGAAAAAAGGCCAAACCACTAAGAACAGTCTCTGTGGCCCACATGTATGTCTCCCTTTGTCCATTTTGCCTGACTAAGCCTGCTCACTAAGACCATTCTAACCTCCATTTCTCCTTCCCTGCCTGCTCACCCTGGCCATCTGGAATCCTAAATCCATTATGGCTCAAGCGCTGTGTGGGTGAAAGATTCTGCTTGGGAAGAGGGAGGCTCCTCACACTCAGCCCATAAAACAGCCGCGTATCCAGAAACATACAACCAGAGAGGACATCTACTCGCCATCTGCCTCGCCCCATTCCTTGAGCAAGGCTGCTCTCGTCAATGCTGCAAGTTCTGGGGTGCCATCACCTTGATGAGAGCTGAAGCCATACCACACCCAGAACCACCTGGGGCCTCCTGGGGGAGTCATGAAAAGAGGCCTCGAATCACGGGAAACAAGTTTGGTAGATTCGTGAAGATGAGTTTGATGAACAACTGGGGCAAACATGTCATAAGAGTGTGACTAGAGTGTGAACACTCTTGAGATGACACCCTGATAAGTGTATACCCTTAATCCTATACAAAATCATGAATGTGGATGTTTCTGAGAAATATAGGGGGTATCATGGAGACACTATGATGTCCATATATAGAATATGAACTCATTGGTTTGTGCAATAAACACTACCATGTCACTGGGTGTGAGCAAGCTATAAAGTATGGTGACTATGAGCACACCATGGCAAGCTTGGTGAACATCATGGTGACCTAGAGGGGATCCCATAGTCAGTGGTGAAAACACTGGGGCCTCAGGGGGTGGTGAATCGTACAGACACTGTGTATGAATGTGAGGTTGTGACACAGTGAGGTCACCTTTTTTTTTTTAATGTTCACTGGTTTTTAGAGAGAGAGGAAGGGAGAGGGAGATATAGAAACATCAATGATGAGAGAGAATCATTGACAGGTTGCCTCCTGCACACCCCACACTGGGGATTGAGCCCACAACCCGGGCATGTACCCTTGACCAGAATCTAACCCAGGACCCTTCAGTCCACAGGCTGATGCTCTAGCCACTGAGCCAAACTGGCTAGAGCAAGGTGACCCTTTTTTTTAAGCTCCAGGAGCATTCTGTGATGACCTCAGTTAGCATATTACATAAGGGAGAGGGCTCTACTGGACATGTTTTGGGTATCTGCTAGACCCATGGCCCATTTTCAGGGAATCTGCTTCCACCTACAACCTCCACGGAGTAAGCACACCCTTAACAGACAGGCTGCAGTACATGCAGCAACTTGTGTGGCATGCATGGTCCTGAAGGTTTCTTTCTTTTTCTTCCATTTTCTAAGCTGGAGTTGTTATTATAGTTCAGTTTTGCTTAGCTTATCTGGGGTGTGTTGATGCAGTTATGAGGTGGAGACTCATCCATGGGTGGGTTTGCAACAGAACATAGGGATGGTAAAGTCTAAGGCTGACAGATATTAATGTGGCCTCTTGATATCCAGAGTCAACTCCTGATATCAAGGTCAGTAGTTAGACATTTCAGGTTAACTCGTATTAGGAAAGGGGTGCTTACGTTTGTGATTGCACTTTTTTAAAATATATCTTTATTGATTTCAGAGAGGAAAGGAGAGGGAGAGAGAAATAGAAACATCAATGATGAGAGAGAATCATTGACTGGCTGCCTCCTGCACGCCCCACACTGGGGATTGAGCCCCGGGTAATCGAACTGTGACCTCTTGGTTCATAGGCTGACGTTCAATGACTGAGCCCCGCCAGCCACACTGTGGTTGTATTTTTAGTGGGTACATGTCATTATTTACTTCTTAGTATCCATTATGCCACTCCTGGTGACTGCACCACAATTTTCCTTTGGGAATAATCAGTCCATGTGATCCCAGTATGGTGATCTATCCCGGCTTCAGAACTGAGCTAATCAGAGCTTTCCATACCCCTAGTTACAGCAACTGGGTCAGGAATGAGCCATGAGAGACATCCCCGGGAATGAATAGGAGACTCTCTTTCCACTGGAGATTTAAGATGTGCTGGGAATGATCTTAGAGCTGGAAATACTACGTGGAAACAGCCTCTGTTCCAGTTACTGTTGCTCTTTAAAAAACTACCGCAGATTTTAGGGGCTTAAATGACAATCATTTTATTATACCCTATGAATTCTGTAGGTCAGGATTTCATGTAGGGCTTGACTGGGCAATTCTGCTTTTTGTGCCATCGACTGAGGCCACTCAATGGCACTTATCTGGTAGATGAGCTAGTCTAATCAAGTGGTGAGGGCTGAAAGGCTGGATCCAGCTGGAGGCCACTAACCAGAACACCTACAGCAGTCCTCACGAGTATGGTGGTCTCAGGGTAGCTAGACTTCTTACTAGTACATGCCAGCTGGCTTTCCCCAGGGCAGATGTCCCAAGAGAGCCAAGTGGAAGCTGCATGACCTCTTCTGATCTTAGAGATCCGCCTCATTCTTGTACAAGCAAGTTAAAGGCCAACTCAGATTCAAGGGAAATTAGATGCTGCCTCTTTTTAAAAATTGTTTTAAGAGTTTATAGAGCCAAACTGATGACATATGCCAGGGAGCAAGATCTAAAATGCTCCCTAGATTCTACCTCTTGATAGGTGGAATAGTGCAGTCATATTGTACAAAAACATGTGCAAAAAGCCTGGCTGGTGTGGCTCAGTGGTTGAGTGTTGACCTATGAACTAGGAGGTCACAGTTCGATTCCCCATCAGGGCACATGCCTGGGTTGTGGGCTCGATCCCCAGTGTGGGGCATGCAGGAGGCATCTGATCAATGATTCTCTCTCATCATTGATGTCTCTATCTCACTCTTCTTCTCCCTTCCTCTCTGAAATCAATTATTTTGCAGTGGAAGCTATCATTGCAACCATCTTAGAAAATACAGACTGCTATCGTCTCCTTAAGAATAAAGCAATCTCAGAGGAAGCAGTTGAGAAATGGAAAGAGAACGGGTCTTACGATGTCTGAGCCTGGATTCACACTGGTGGGGAAGAAGGGCTATATTTCAAATTAGGAAGTTGGGCAATAAAACTATGAAGGCACAAGGTGGAACAGTGACAGACTGTACCCAGGACAGGAAGGGGGACTCTCCCACTACCCTGGATTCCAGGTCTCTGGGCTCCCAGGTACTGGGTGGGCAGCCCTTGATGGTCACTTAGAGCTTTAGTCGAGTCCTCCATTCCTCAGGGATCATCAGTGGCCTGTTCTAGACAGGCCTGCAAAGCCTCCCCCAGGCCACAGGGGGCGATGATGGGAGCATGGGAGAGGGCTCAGGCAGCATCCTCCTCTGGAGCCACCAGCATCGGGTCAGGCCCCTCCCAGTGTTCACAAGCTCCTTTCCCCTCAGCAGCATGAGAACCCCTGGCCATAGCTTGGGTCACAGGCGGCCTGGCTACACTGGGCTCTAAGCCCCCCAGCCCCCATCCTCTGGAGAGGGCTGGGGTGATTGATGGGTTTTCAGTGTGTTCCAGGCAGAGGCTTGGAGCTGCTGCAGACTAGCCTGGCCTGCAGAAGCCCCAAGGGGGCACTCATGGCTTGGGCTGACCCATCCAGGTCAAGTCCTGGGCAGTCCAGACCTGTGGCTGCCTCCCAAGCCCTGTCTGTCTGTCTGTCTGTCCTGGGGTTCTGGCTAAGGAGAGCAGCAGCCTCTCCCATCAAGGAGTCCTTAGAGGAGGGGTTAGGGGTAGTCTCAGATTCCCCCAATCTAGCCCTGTGTATCTCACAGCTCATGCCACTTGGGGACAGGAAAGGATCCTTGTGGCCTCTCAGTGCTCAGCCCCAAATAGGAGCTCAATGAGGGCGTGTGGAAAAAGAGAGCTGATGCAAGGCCACAGGGGCCGGACCTCCATCTCCAGGCCCAGCACGAGGCAGGAAGACCACCTGGGACCTAAAGCAGACCCTGGTAGTTTGTGTATATCCCTTCCGCATCTTCTGCCTCCAACTGGGATTCTATCCTTGTGCGGTTCATGAACTAGCAGCTTCAATAGCACTTGGGAGCTTTTAGAAATGCAGACCTACTGAATCAGAAACACTGGGCACGGGGCACAGCAATCTGTGTTTTAAGAAACCTTCCAGGGGCTCTGACAAGTGTTCCAATTGTAGGACCATTGTCTGAGACAACAGGCAAACTCATGCTGAGGGGGAGGTGGGTGAGGTCCTGAGCACAGGCGGCTGCTTACGCCACCTATGGGTGAGACTGGGGCTCCTATGCTGGTGGGTGTCTATACCCAGAGTCAGACGCATCTCACAGACCAGCACAGAGAACCCACATGCAGGGGCTCTGGGGTCCAGTGGGCACAGACAGGCATCCAGATGGAAGTAGGTAGGGTCAGAGAAGAGCCGTTCTCACCAGGTGACATCCTGTGCCCCACAATGCTTGTCCCTTATCCCTTCTGAGGTTCTCTGCGTGCACCCTCAGAGGCCAGAGAAGCTGAGTAGTTGTCCAGTTCTAACCAGCCACCCCCCAACTGAAAGGTCAGGTGGCCTGTGCGCCTAACAGAGTTTGGATTATGCGATAAAACCAGCAGTCCTTTCTCGGCATGAGTGGGCCACGGCCAGGGGAGGGTGGGGGATCAGCAAGCAAAGTTTAGGCGAGAGCACACCACCCCCTGAGCGATGAAATCCTGCCCAGATGTACAATTCCCCTTGGCCCCTTCCCAGCGCGTCTCAGTGCCCACCCCAGCTCCCCACCCATCTCTCTGCTCTGGCCTGTGGAGCCCCAGGCCGCTGTCCACTTGGCTCATCACCAGGCCCCGCGGCATCTTCCCATAAGGATCTGGAAGTGAAATCCCAGCCTCTGGGAGCTGCCTGGGACGTGGGGAGGGGAGAGAGAGGCCGAGCTTCCTTATGCTCAGATCTGGTTTCGCCGCTTCCCGTGGCGCACTGCCACAGGCTGAGCCACCAGCTGTGCTATATAAGGCCCAGAGGCTGGACCGCTGGAGAGGCAGAGACTTGGACCCCCCAGCTGAGGACTCCCACTCAGGACACGGTGAGCTCCCCTCCCATTCTCCTCGCCCCAACCCTGCACCCCCTGCCCGGCTCAGCTATTCCTGCCCTCCCCGATCACTCCTCAAGCCCCGTAAGAATACCCCCCTTGCTGCTTTAGAGTTCTCTTTTCCCTCATTGGCCCAAAGTCCTCTCCTTCCCCCATCTGAGGTCAGGGGCCCTCAAATGACCCCAGTCAGGATCTTTGTAGCTCTGGGCGCCCTGCTTCTTTCCTGCGGTCAGCCCGTCTGCTTTGTCCGAGAGTTCTGAGGGGTGTGGGATGGGGAGCCTACCCAGCAGACATGTGCCGAGGAAACTTCCGTGGGCTGCCAGATGGGAAATGGTTTTTCCACAAGGTGCCTCAGGCCACCTTGGCCTCCCAGACAGTCCCGGAGCGGTCTCAGACTGAACGCCGTGCAGGCCCATGGAGCGCTCTGCTCCCTGCTCAGAGCCCGGAGCTTGGGGTAAGACACACAAGAGCTGGAGACCTTGCGGAGGCCCCAGCCGCTGTTCCCTGGGCTGAGAAGCAGCTGGTGGTGGGGATAGTAGATGGTCTGCAGTGTGGGATTGGTCTGTTCTTCCCCTGGGACAACGGAGTATTTTCGAATCTTTTTTCCAGAAAGGAGGAATCTCCCCCCTTCCCACTATACCCTGGACTTTGGCGGTTGAAGGGAACCATTTTTTTTAATCTCTAAGAACTGGTCAGGTTCTGGGTTGACCAGAGCTCTGGGGAGAGAGACCACAGGAGCCTGGTCCAGCCCCACGGCCCGAGTCCTTATTGCCTGGCTGCTTTCCTCTTCCTACTCCTGCAGCCGCTAACCCATAGTCAGCAGTTACTGGGGAGCCCTGGACTCTAACGGTGCAGCCCCCCTGCTCTCCTTCAGGGGGCTCCTGGTTGTGTAACTCCCAGCTAGACCCCAAACAAACAGGCCAGAAATGTGTTCCAGCTGCAGCCCGTGCACATCTGGGAATGTGTTCATGGAGGGGGTATGTCTGAAGCATCTGCGCCCTCCAGCTTGCTTGCCGTGTCACTGTAGTCGGGGTTGGGGTTTCACAGCCTTAATATTGTAGCTTCTTTATGAAA